AAATCGAATTTTAAAATATTTGTTTTTAAAAAACTTTTTTTATGGAAATCTAATACATGTAAAACAAGATACATATGTTAGGTATATAACCAAAGCAAATGTTATTGAAGAGCTCAATTAAATATTGCTTATCGTGCTCGATGCTATATTAATCCGAATTGTTTATCCAATCTGAAGTGACCACATTGAAGATTTTTTTGGTAATTTTTTCTTTAAAATACACCCTCTTGTTATTATTTTCCAGCAATTGTAAATAGTTTAGAGTAAGTCGGGTATTAAATTGTTAAAAATGCAAAGATAAAGAAATAATATAACATACTTATAGTAGTGTAATACTATTTTAATTTATGATGGAGATGTAGTGGTTTTGAAAAAAATCATGTCATGGAGAGGTACGACAGAAAAAAATGTATGCATTAAATTAATGCGTTGCTTATCTGTCAACTTTCATACGTGTAATATTTGGATTTCATTATAAGCTTCTGCATCAATTGAAAAGGTCAGACATGACCATTAATATATAAAGCTGATATTTATTTTTACAGTAAAATATTAAAAATGAAAAACGTGTTGTCTGTTTCCGTCGTTTGGGACACGAAGAAATGTTACGGTTGCATCGTATGAACGACTTGGCCTGTTCTACTGAAAATAATTGTTGATACTTGTTTGTTTGATTCGGTTTTACGGCGCATCATGACAATTTAGGTCATATAGCGGCGAACAGGAAGATGACTATGGCTAACCTCGGGTGCAACATCAGTGGTCAAAACCATAAAATGGTTGGTATTGTATTGGCCTAGGATGATAATTTGGTCTTAACGGTACATGGAAAAGGATAAGTCTGCATACTATCCGAGATTTGAAATGTCAACAACTCTCTAAGAGGAATGTGTACCATCGTGATGGATCAGGTGGTAAATCAACTTCACTGTAAAACTTTTTTTAAACTGATTTGAATCACAGGTTCGAACCCGTACTACGCACTTGCTATTGTTATAATGATGTTTGTTTGTGATTGTGTTTCTTCTCCCTTTTTGTTTGAATATAATTTGTTCCTTTTATGTTCTATTTCTTTCCGTTCCTTTTTTGTTTCTTTTTTTATTTCATTTTAAAAATCGAATTACAAATGTTTTTTTAACAAACTGCGATAACGAAAATAATAACTCATAATTTTAATATACATGGATCAATATTTCATATTATTTTTTTACATTTCTAATAATGCGCTTTCCTGACGTTTTGACATTATCCTTAAAATTTTTTACACAAGTGCATATCAACCTGTGTACAAAAAATTATATTCCACTCATGCGAACTATTTGGAAATAAGAAAAAGATATATAAAAACTTCGAGATATAATTTAACCCCTAACTATGATTCGAACATGTAAATGCATGAATACAACACAGACACGGACGCTCTGCCTACTGTTGCGATATAATGACACATGGAAATGCCTCGTTAAGCTTTTGTTTTATTCATAAGGCTTCAATTTGCCTTACAAACTATTTTTCGCATTGTTATTAATCTTTGTTATGTAAACAAAGGCTCAAGTTATCATCATGGGACAGCAATAAGAATCTTAAAGCTCATTCAGGGTCGAGTTAAAACTGTCAGATCTCAAGTATTTTATAGGCCAGAAACTGTCACAGAACCTATATTTACCAATGAAAGTCTTGAAATTTGAGACAGAACACTATGCCTTTCATGGTGATGAACCCCAAATGTTATCTTCAAAATTGATCAGCGATACAAAATATATGTGAATTTCGCTGGTCCAGATGAGCCTTTGAACACCCACCATATGTGTAGGAGAAAATTGGTCAATTACAGTGTTTTTTTTTAACTTTTTAAAAATTAAATATAAAAAATCCAAAGCTCTTTTTAAAGAGAAACTCAAACTGTGACTCTACCCTCATGACATTTCCTCTTTATTTACCCATTTATGCAGTCTGTGTCGAGATATTCTTTCCGTCGTGGGTTCTGGGTGTGCCAGTATCTAAATTAAAATGTATGGTCTTTTGCATATGTCGCACTGGTCAAAATTTGGTTCATCTTGATGAGCCAACGAAAAGACCAAAACAAGATTTGGTCTCTCAAAAGACCATGCGTTGTAAAAGGAAACGTACCCTATTTTCTTTTTAACCAAGGGTCCCGCTATTCTGAAGCAGAGCAATGTCGTTGTACACCCTTATCTTCTATACATACTTGACCTTGCCCCTCGATACTTTTCTTTGCATCCAAAGCTAAAGAGACAATGACAATGACAAAATTGGATCCGGAACTAAAACTTGGTAGATTTGATGGAGGTGAATACTTCGAGGTAATTAAATAATAAATTTAGTGACACATATGAAGAATCAAATTTTAACACTCCTCGTGAATGTTTAATTTGTCGCATACAGACTTTAATCCCCGCAAAATCAAAATATCAATAGAACCCAAAAAGATTTAGTATACCTTTGTCGACGCATAGATTATTGCTTACGATGGTTAAAAGTAACCATTTCACAGTAAATATATTGTAAGGTGTCTGCATGTTTTTCTTCATTTTGAGTGAATTAACAGATTAGCCGAGCTTTATCCTAGGAATTGAAAATGACGGTAAATTACTTATAATGTACTGACGTTATTTTTGTGGACATTTATCAAATAATTATGTCATCCGTTTGAAAAAATGTTCGCTTTTGTGAAATTGGGTTATCACGGAACGGAAGGATTTTTGTTTGTTTGCAATAATGGGGATAAACACCAAACGCCAAAAAAAAAACAAAAAAAAAACGGACGGTTTCTACGTCAAAATTAAGCTTGTCATGACTTGTGTCCTGTTTTATTATTCCTTCAAATAGAATGTTCTACGTGAAACATCAAAAGAATAGAGAGGTCTGCCTTATCGCCCTATATGTCACATTTTCTTTGTAAGAAACCTGATCACGGCATATCACCTGATGCCGTGAACATCCTGCGTTTGCCTAATGATTAAATTTTAAAGAGACAAGAAAGTGCTAAGCTTGTAATGTTTTATTGATTTTAAAAATGGAACAGATAGTTGTGCAAATAAACATGTGTGAAGAAGAGAAAAGATACATGTACTAAGGCAAATGACATTTTGTAGTAACTATCACTGTAAGAAACGTTGGTCTGAGGTTTAGTTACCAGATGTTAATACATATTTGAGGACATCTCGCTAAGTTAGCAATAATGTCATTCTGATAGTGATGGCTGTGAGGGATGCTGCACGTATTCATTATCCCTCATGTACAGACTCAATCAAACCGAGTCTGCAATTCTCTTGTAATTTTGTTGTGATTAATGCTTCCGAGGGATCACTTTGTTTCCAGATTTTTGAAATCTGATACTTGCTAAATTTTCATTATTTAAAATAAACAATGGAATGTGAACGGACTGACAGGCCTATCTGTCAGATCACCATTTTGGATCATTCATTATCACGCCCCTGTCCGTCGGATTTCATCATTCTGTAGTATTTTCACACAGCTCATACTGAGCGCTATATAGACACTTGAAAATAGTTAATTCAAATTTATAAAAAAAATTCAGGTATATCTTCTATTTAATATATCGCATAATTAACCATCTGTTTTGTTTTTGGTGTAAAGTATATTCTATATAAAATATGAAAAACAAGATCAACAAGGAAAGGCGGCGTCTTTACTATGTTTTTCCGACTTCAGAAAAATAAAAATTGCATTTCGAATGAACGGCTCAACATTTGTTAATAGGAACATATAACAATATAGTTAAACTTAATACCTCATTATATAAAGCTATATTGTATTTTTACATGTCGAAAATATAAAAGGCCACTCTATAAATTGAACGTAACAGATAATATACATAAATTTCCTTAGGACATTTAAGTTATTTATCGTACATGTCAAGTAAATTGTAAAAAGAACATTTGTAATTTCCACCTGCTCACTCAATATATGTTCTTGGATGGCCATAATGCCACTTTAAAATTAAAGGAATAAATATTGTGCAGACTGAACATAAACATTAAAAGTTTGATTATTACCATTGTAAAGTTAGATGGAACAGCATAATCTTTAAAAGAAATTCTTGATGTTTGATCAGTTTTCGTCTGAAAAGTTGTTTGGATAGGAATGCAAAAGAACAGAAGTTATACCTTAAAATCAAGATGGAAACAAACAAAATGATTGAAAAATATTTCAATTGTTCGGCATATCATTCCATAAAACTTTAAAAATATAGATCTTTATAAGTGTAAAATACCAAACATAAAGGAAATTCAAGAATAAAAAGAAGAGCTAAAAGTGTCGACAATGTAAGTGGTTGAGTTATAGCAAATTGAAGGAACTGACAGGAACTTAACATTTTCCATTTAGTTACATGTATATCAAAACAAGCAAAGAATGTTCTTTTATACGCCACGCTGTCCTTAAGGAAAGATGCAATTAAGCATATTAAAATATGTCAGTTTGATGGTTTAGAAAAAGGAACACATGAAGCTGCAATGATAGTGCATTCAGTAATCATTACGCATGATTACAGTCAGCAAAACGTATTCCTCAAGTACAGACTAAATCGACCCGAGTCTGCAATTTTCATGTTTTTTCTTGTGATTAATGCTTCAAAAGGATGGAACACTTTGTTTCCAGATTTTTTTTCCAGTGACATAAAGAAGTATGGAAGCAGGCATAATGTAAATCCCAATATCTTCAAGCAAGATGGAATAAATGCATTAATTCTGTTCCATACTTAACTAACCCCAATCCTTAAGTACAACAAGTTTTCAAGTATAGTTAAAGATCGGTTAAGTCACTGAAGATAAACAACCGTGAATTTTTCAATTATAAATTATAAAATTAATGTTTTTTTTCTTCTGATGCGCACTGTTATATCGTTTTGGATACTGTGTTAGTATACACATGTCATTGGTTAAATTGTTCAGTTAAATACGTTAATGCACAGACTGTGTCAATTTAACAAATGGAATCCGTTTCACTATCCGTCTTCACATTCTTCGGAACATCATCCTCGATCCTTTAAGGGCTAGAAAACTCTGGAATGAGTGATAAAAATGCCCTTTATTGATGTAGGTATGTGCTGTTCCAGGTGTGATGTACTCTCCATTCAGGTTTTGTCTAGCACAATCGCTATACCACCACGCACCATGATAGTTGACAGCACATTTACTGACTGACTGATCCTGATCTCTATCAAATGTTGAAAAGACAACTCCATTCTGGTCATACAGCGAAAATTCTTTGCGCTGAACTACAAATGAATAAAAACAATTTCTATTCATTATAACCTGTGTTTAGTTGGACTACTCGACATTTAATCATAACCATATTGCTTTTAATATAGTTTGGAAAATTAAACTAGATTGAGTTTGGTTAAGTTTGAAAATTAAATTGTGATATGCAAGCTTCATAATCTCTGACCCCCTTTCAAAATTCCAATTTGTTTGGTTTTACTCATTGTTCTCTCGTTTAGGGCACACGCATTTGTTTTTACTTAGGGACCATATGCCGCTTTTCATGAAATAGCTCTAACGTGTCAAATTGAAGGTTCAATGATGACCGCCATATGAACACATCAGCGGATGTTATTACCTGTTCATGTTAAGTGTTGAACTCTGCTTTAGTCGGTGCTTTGGGGCATGGACAGAAGCTTGAACCTCCCAGTACTGTCCATGAACAGGGATATCAAACCGAGCCTGCATAATTTTCAAATTGGCCGTCCTTGGGCTTTCTTTAGGGATTCTGTTTCTCTCATATTTTGAGATTATCTCGTCAAAACAAGTCGTACAATATGATAAAAATAAAGGAACTTTTAAGAACTACCTGTTGATTCTTTTCCTGGAGTAAGGTAAATTCTGTAGTCAGGACCATACCCTAAGTAGAAGTTTGTGTAGAGTTCGTAGGCTTTTTCCGATTCACTCCCTATAAGAGAAATTCTAAGTTCTGACAGGCATTCTTCCCGTGTAAAACTTGTCATTTCTTGAACATATTTAAGACCTGTAAAAAATAAACAGTATTATTTCTCCCCCCTCTCTTGGACTGTTTATATCTGTATTACTTATAAATATCACTATGCTGACATTTGTTATAACATTTGAAAATAGGAATATAACAAGGAAGAAGTGAACTCATAAATAAATTGTTATAAAGTGCAGACCCGGTTTTATTAAGTCTGTTCAACATGAGATATAATGCAAACACCATCATCTCTCATGCAACTGCCGGTTTTAAAGTTATCAAATCCTCAACACCTTAACGGATACTATTTTGATTGTCATAATACTATAATAATCTCTAAAAGTCGATATTATACAGTTTAAACTAGTTGCATCAACCCTTTTATCGCGCTCGTAGAAGAAAAATCCAAAAATAATTTCTATAATTTTCTTCAATAATTAAAAGTTTCTTCATTTTACACAATTTAACATACCTAACCAAAATTCGCCATCAATATCCCCAAATCCATTCTCATATTCATAGAAATTCCGATAAAAATCAACTGACCCATCGAATCTGTTTTGAAAAACCTGAAAAATATTTGATATGCTCTAGAATCTTGTTGAATTAATTCCAAACATTAGGGTTTTGTTATCATTTACATCAATTTCTCTTCCAACCTAGTTCATTTTACCCTTTGCTTGCTTAACCTTTTCCCTTATATAAGCGTGTTTCGACGGCTTTGTGTCACCCCCCCCCCTTTTGAGGCCTAGAACAGTGAAAAAATGCCCTATTTTTTTGGGGGGGGGGGGGGTTGAAGGGGGGCGGAGTCCCCCTCATCGCCAAGAAAATTTTGGACATGTGACAGGCTAAAAATGGCCTCGGGTCGATCTTCGGGTAACTAGTAACCGACGCTGAAAAGCCTTTTACTCTATCTCAATTCATTGAGAAGTTGCAGCACTTTGAAATCAGTTTTGATGGAAAAAAACAATGCAAAATAGTGATTTTTTACCATTGAGCATGCTGTTACAGAGGCTATGGTGTAGTCAACATATGGGCCAAGTTTCATTAATATTGAAGCATTTTTCATAGTTTCATAGAAGTTTGAACTTGTTACAGGAGGCTTTTCAATGAAAACGGCCATTTTTCGCAATATGCTCATGGGGTAAAAGGTTAATGTAACTGAATTTGGCCTGTACTGTTAGCTTTTCAATCAGTACATATTCAACAATATTACCGAACATGATGAATGGTTCTGTTCAGACTGTAAGATGGACAAGTCATTTAAGTTGTTTAGCGATTAAAAGGGCCTATCAGCATCATTTTTTGTCAACTTTTAAGAAAATTCCGAACGTTTGTATCAGGCCAATATCTCTCAAATTAAAACATTGAACTAAAACATTGAAATTAAAAGGATACTTTTCTATAAAGTATACACACACAAAGTGAGTTTACTGTTTGGACAACACAATTATACATTTTAATGCCTACACAATAAAATAATTCTTTACTCTTTTTTAAACTTTATTCGATGTTGAAAAAATATTTGCTCTAGTTATAACGGTTGCTTTATTCTACACTTACAGTCCAACCGCCACCGTCAGTTTCCATGTCACAATACACTTTAATTTTTGTTTTTGAATACCGTAGCGTTATGTCATAAATCCCATTTTTAGGTGAGGACATGGTCGATAATATATCCTTGCAATCAGAATATGTCTCCAATTCTTTCTTTTCTGCTCCAACTGAATCAGATGAAAAGAAGTAAATAGCGAAAATAAGTTACAATTATCATTTTGCTGATATTTTAGAAGTTACGTTGGAATGATTTCAAAAATCATTCAGAAATGTGAGAACACAGAAGCACCACTTTCGGTTGTATGATCTTGAAATATATACAATTACTTGTTCTTATAAACATAACAGTTTTTGCAATAAAAATCAAGATGTGAAACATATCCTAAGACAACTGCCTAATAAACACAACTGCTGGTGTTTCTAAATCTAAAATTTCAACATGCCCATGCTGAGCAAAGTGACAGGGGGCGTTTCCAATTATCAGGTCAAATCCAATCCAGTCTGCAACATTTTCAATTTTGTCATTTTGGGCGTTTACGGGGATACCGTTTTTTTTCTATTTTGAACACTTGCACTGATAAAGTTATATGTGCAACACGTTTAGCTAGGAGCCTGATGCCCAAACATCCCACTGTTTTGTCCGTAAAATTACGGACAGCGTGACAGCAGGTCAGCGGAACTGACGGACACAAGGGCAAATATTCATATATATCTCTTCTTAAGTATTGACCCGTTCATTTAAGCGAAAAGCGTCGAGGAAAAATAACTTCCCTTACCGGATGTGACGTAAATGGGGGATTGTACAAACCGCGTAAAATGCTAGCTTATTGAAAGTTTAATACGTAAATACTGATTGTAAATTACGAATATAACATTAAAAAATTTGACTTATGCATATATATTTCATATTAAGAATATAAAAATAAAATATACAAAAACAAAGATTCAGATTTATTCTTGCTACGGGGTAAAACATCAGACTTTCAAAGTGAATATATATATCTATTAGATTTTCTCTAATGCCAGAGTAAATAGCTAATAACTAAATCAAATTTTATTTCATAAACACCCATACACAGTGAATTAACATGAACATAAGATTGTCAGTTTTTTTCATGATTGTCTTTCAAACTTTAAAAGAACAATAACAGAATACATTCTATCAACACTTTTCTTCTTTTTATTATGCCATGTAAAAAATCGTTCAAAGAACCAGAGAAGGATATGATTTTATAAATATTCCTGAAAGAACGAAAACCATGTGGCAATGACTTTTATAACGTAATATTTGCAACAGACGATAAAAAGATATTCTTATGATTATGAAAATAAAGACCTTTTCCTAGTAACTAATTTTATAAATAAATAGATGTGTGTATATAAGCGCCAATTGGCCGTAACATATTAATTAACAAGGTGCATATGTTGTATGTTATACAAGCGGCACTTGGCTGTGATATCATAAATCACCAGGGTGCATATTTTAGAGTTATAAAATTGCATCAGATTATGTCACGTTAGTAAGTCGTAAAATATTTTTTTTTTTTGTAATTAACATTTTATTTCCCATATTGTACAAAACATGTAACAGAAATATTTTTTGGTCAATATAATGTATTGGCAATCAATATACAGTCAAAACTGTGTCCAAACCACCTAACTAATTATCAATTTCATGACAAAAGTCACCCTAACTAACACTACAGATAGAGGATTCTCTTGATAAAGACCTCTTCTTTTCTATATAGGAAATGTTATATTTCTCCTCCGTGCGACCCTGGTCACAGGTTTGACTGTTATCATGCATCAAAGTACATAGTTAATACAAATTCAATAATCTCAATTAAAGCCAAATTAATCAGTACACATACAATAGTTTTAAATGGAGCCATATTAATCAGTACAAATACACTAGGTTCAGATGAAGTCAGATTAATCAGTACAAATACACTAGTTTCAAAATGAAGCTATATTAATCAGTATAAAAACAAATATTCTCAAATGAAGCCATATTAATCAGTACAAGTATAATAGTCTCCTATGAAAAACTTTATAATTAGTTCAAATACACAAGTTTCAAGTGAAGCCCTATTAATCAGTCCAAAAAAAACCCAACAAATCAGTCTCGAAAGAAGCAATATTAATCAGTACCAATATAATAGTTTCACCCGAAATTATATTAATCAGTACCAGTACCATATTAATCAGTACACATACAATACTTTCAATTGAAGCCACATTAATCAGTATACATACAATACTTTCAATTGAAGCCACATTAATCAGTACACATATAATAATTTTAAATGAAGCAATATTAATCAGTGCAAATACAGTAGTTTTGGATGAAGCAATATTAATCAGTACAAATACAACTGTTTTGAATGAGACTATATTAATCAGTTCGAATACAATAGTTTCAAATGAAGCCATATCAATCAGCACAAATACAGTAATTTCATATGAAACCATATTAATCAGTACAAATACATTGATTTCAATTGAACCTGTATTAACCATATCATTTGTACATAACTATATTAAATCAATATTGCTTTATTCTGATGCAGTAGAGAGAATTCTATATCAATCGAGGATTTTCATATTGTACAGTGATTTTGAGAACAGGAAAGGAAAAAAGCCATTCCTTCCTCCCCCTTTAATAATATTTAGAGTTTTACTCTATAGCTAAAAGTAATGTAGTAATGAATGCTTAAATTTAAATACCATATTTAAATTTTGTACCTTTGGGATAAATATGCTTTTTAAAGAAAAAGGATATAAAAAATGGAGAAAATAAAAAGGGTTCGGTGAAATCTACTAGAAGGATTTTTATCTCAGATTCAAATCTGAAATTTCAAATAATAAGGAATTTTAGATTTTTTGGTGGTGTCTCCCGGTGCCGCAGCAGTGAAGTGAAAAGTTGTAGAATAATAATACATGACTTAAACCTTCATCAATACACAGAATACACAAACACTATTCTAAATTTACTAGGTTTTTGTATTTCTGCCATGATTTCTGAAACAATTCATATGTTTGATTCTGTTTAGCTATGTATTTTTCAACTGTATATCTGGCATATATTTGAGTTTTAAAATTAGCAATAGAAGGCCTTATTTGTTTAACTCTACAATAGTAAATGTAATGTTTTCCATTTAAAATCAAACCATTTAAGACTTTGTCATATTTTGTATTACCAAAAAGAATGTCAGTAACATTCCAATCATCACAAGTAATATTACATTTATCTTTGACATAATTTTGTAATATTCTCCAAAAGTTTTTGACAATTTCTCAATCATAGAAAAGATGAATAAGAGTTTCACTCTCAGATTTACATAAAGTGCATATATCGTTATTTACAATGTTCATTTTTTTCAACAAATAATTTGTGGCAAGTATTCTGTGGTTCAGTCTAAACTGGAACCAGATTAATTTTGAATCCTTTGTAAATTTATATGGTAATTCATATATTGAATTAAATTGAAACTCTGTTTCTACAGCCTCTGTTAAATCATTTTTCCATTTCAAAAGAAAGTTAGGATATTGTCCGGTTTCAATCATAGTTTTATAAATCTGTTGGCAACCTTTTTTATCATGAAGAATTATGCCTAATGTTTGAGGAATGTGTACATTATACTTATATTCCTTAGGTAGATCTCTGGCATGAATTCTTTCTAAAAACTCATTCAGTGCTCTAATAATCCCCATATATTCTAGAAAGTTGCTTCTTATGTTATATATTTTCATTAAATTCATTGAATGAATAAAATCACCTGTCTGACTGATTAAATCACCTAAGAATAGGACTCCTCCATTAATCCATCTAGTTAGATGAACACAAGAATTTCCAATTTTTATGCCAGGGTTGTACCATAAATTAATAGAGTAAATATCTTTACTTGTTTTTGGCTTAACTTTCATAGAAAGACTCATATAACTTTTCATTACATCTTTCCAAAAAGGATTTATATCACAACTTAGTTTTGTTTTTATAAAATCTGTTCCATACTTAAAAATATTATGTATACAAGGCAAAGTACTTTCTACCAACTGACTATATTTATTGTCATTATGAACAATACGTCTTAACCAAGTCAATTTTAAACTATTCATAAAACAGCTCAATTCTACCATTTTAAGGCCACCGAATTTATAATCTTGAGTAATAATATTTCTTTTCACTTTATCTATACCATCATTCCATAAAAATTTATAAAATAAACTTTGAATTTTATTGATTTTTTCAGTAGGTGGATTAGGAATGCTTAAAAAAAAGGTGGTTCAATTTTGCTAAGGCCAAAGACTTTATAACTACTAATTTTCCTAATGGAGAGATTAGTCTTTTGGACCATGAAGCAAATAATCTTTTTAATTCCTCAATTTTTAAATCAAAGTTTAAATCTACAATTTGTTTCAGATCTGTTGAGAATTTAATACCTAATACTGTAAAAACTTCAGTGTTCCAATCTAGATTGTAGTCAGGACAAAGAACTACTTGGCTATTTCTGTAGGAGCCAAACCAGACTACTTTGGTTTTTTCCATATTAATGTTAAGGCCTGATATCTCTGCATAGAATTTTAAAACTTCCATGGTATTTCTTAATGATTTGGCTGTGCCATCTTAAAATATACTAGTATCATCAGCATACTGTGAAATCTTATACTCTTTCTCATTAATTATAACACCTTTGATATCTTTGTTTTTTCTTATTAATATTGACAGTACCTCTGCACAAATGATGAACAGGTATGGCGATAGGGCATCACCTTGACGACAACCCCTTTGAAGTTTGAACCAGTCTGACATGTGGCCATTTATAATAACACATGATTCTGTATTAGTATAGAATAACTTGATCCAACTTCTAAAAGAGGGACCAAAAGTCGTAAAATATTTTATGATCCGAATTTGGTTATGGATCATCCTAGGGACTTTACTGCTCATGCCTTACTGAGAATGACGACCAACTGGCAAAGTAAAAAAATACGTAAAATTATAAGTCAGTTAATAACGAATTTCTGTGTACGTATTTCACAACTTGTTTTTCTTATGATTTTTAAAAAAATATTTTTAAGCAGAATATGAATTAAATAAAAAAAATATCAAGTTGAAAATATCACTTTCCAAGTTTTAATATAATTGGCGGATGTACGATTTTTT